GGGAAAGAATTCTGCTCATGTTAAATTGGTGCTGGGAATAAACCTCCTTGGATCAGCCTCCTTAAGAAAATGGTTTAAAAAATAGTGTCCTTTTCTTTCCTGAGTTGTCTTAATGCCTTAGTGGTACAGATGCACAAAGTTTTTAAATTACAGCATTCGGTTGCGATTTGAGTGCCCTCTTTTATCATTGTTTTCATTCTTTATACTCAGTTCTGTCCTGTTCTACTACAACTTCAGTTACTTTCCCCCACACACAAAAAAAGTGTAGGAATTTGTCTCAATATCTCAGCGACCTTAAACAGTATGTTGTTTGGGTTTATTTACTTAGGATAGCCTTTTAGGTTGTTTTGATAGAGAATTTTTTTCATGCATCCTAAATGAATGTTAACTGCGGCTGTCACCTTCATAATGGCCAGTGAGTCTTCTTTCAAAGATTATTGCTCTTTTGTGAGATAGAAGTTGTCTCTTTCTTTTAGTCTTTTGTATATTGCCAAGATTAAAAGTCACAAGTATCCTGGGCAATGAGGAGTTGTATTTTAGGCTCTTCATCACTGAGAAAATTTAACCTATAACTTATTTCCTTATTTCCTTATATGACTTACCTACTGGATAGAGAAAAAAAAAAAAAGGCATTACACTGACAATCATTCTCATAATCTTTTTTTGCTGCAGTACTGTGTTTTATGCAACACAACCATAAAGCAAGAAGCTAATGTTTCAAGTGCTCAACCCATGAGGGAAATTTCGATTTGTAGCAGGGCTTATGGACATAAAATCCTAGACCAGTGCCCAACCTGAACACCAGATTTGGTTATACGGTGGCTTTTCATCACAGCTTTAAAATTTTATTTTTACATTGTCCAGGAACCTTGATTTATAGTTCTTAACAGTCTAGTCTACATATGTATTAAGAAGAAGTAGACCTTGCAGTTCTTCAGTATTGTTGTGACCAGATACCATAGGGAGAACATAGTGTGGAAAGTAATTCTGGAGTGCAGAGGTAGGGGATCCCACCGAAAGGCCATTGCAGTTGCTTTTCAAATATGGTTCAGTATAGAACAGTGTTGCAGGAAATTTCTCAGGTGGGCATGAAGTCCTTTGAGTTAAGCACACCAGTAATACTGAGAAACCTGTTTAGAAGCTGGAATTTAGTCTTAAGCTCTACAGAGTAAGTTTACGGCCAAAAGCACCAGGATTTACATGTGTGCTGCTCTACCAGAGGCTGGAACCATGCAGCTAACTCGCTATTTGTTGGGAAAGAAATGCTACTACAGTTATTGCCGAGTGTGCTGTCATGCTAGGACCTGCAATTCTAGTGCAGCAGGAAAAGACAGAGTAACTTGAATTTCTTTCATGAATTGAACTTACTTTCATTCAATTGAACTTTCTTCTATGCTCTCCAGGGACCTGACCACTGCACGAAGTGTTTCCATTTTAAGGATGGTCCAAATTGTGTGGAAAAATGTCCTGATGGCTTACAGGGGGCCAACAGCTTCATTTTCAAATATGCTGATGAGGATCGTGAGTGCCATCCATGTCATCCAAACTGCACCCAAGGGTAAGTGCAAATTCTGTGAACTGAGCCATCCTGTTTACTGTTTATAGTACATCATGATTTAAATACACTTTGGCTTGGTAAAGCGCTTGTCCCACTCCTGAAAACAGGGTGTGTGCAGCAGTAATGTAACGTTTTATTTCCAGGTCTCTCATGACATTCAGGTTCCAGTCGTGAATGTCCAGCAGCTTATCAGAAAAACAGCTTACACCCCTTTTGAAAACCATAGAGAGCAACTTTTCACAGCAGTGCTCTTAGCTTTCCTTTTTGACTAGCACTGGTTTGTAGCAAATGCGGCCGTTGACACTTATGTAAGTGTAGGCCTGTACAATGACTTTATTTTTAGTATTTACTTGTTGACAGAATTTTCATCTCTGCTCCTTGGTATTTATGAACTAACCTGGCAGCAGTACCATGAGACAAAAGTGTTGCTGCCCTCTTTTTCATATGGGAACTGATGCAAAGGTTTTTTCTGAAATCAGACTCTGTACGGGAGTCTGAGTCTGAGCATCAATTTCTCAAGTCCTGTCTAAGTGCCCAAAATCACTTGTTACATTTGGAAATATACAGCCGATGTATCTGAGCCAGAATTAAGAATCTTTGCAACAAAATAATAGTAGTTGCATACACAACTATTGTTTTGTATGGGCCACTTAAGTTATAAATGTCTTTCAATGAGACGGTTGGTGGTGTCCAGCATACAAAGAAACGGAGAGGCAGCCAGGGGAAAAAAGAGAAAACTTCAGCCAGTGAAATAATTTTTGACAAGAGGCTTTTATTGTTTAGCGGCTAAAATTAAACCAGTAAATTATTCAATGTAATCTTGATGTCAACAGCTGTTGCCATTCAAAATGAGACCTTTTGCTGGTTTTGCAAATCTAATTACAATAGAGCCATTAGGGAAATGAAAGTGAGATCGCAAAGACACAGCCAGGATCTGTTACAGATTTGTCTTCCCCTCAGACTCTTTAAATCAGTTACACAATAAGAAAAATGCTGCTCCTGTGGAAGAAGAGTGAAAGAAGAAACAATATGAAAAGATGAACTCACTGCAGGAGCTCTGGTCCTGGCTTTAATAGGTGGTGGAGGTGCCAATTCTAATCAAATCTGACCAGCCCAGCTATGGATGATAGATTTACTGTCTGCCCTGTATAAGAAGTGCCTTGCAGCTTTGCTGGCCTCTCAGAAGACCAGGATGTGACATTCCCTCTTCCCATTCCCTCCTCTTTTCTGGGGAGGTCTAACTGATGTAACTATTACTAATCTTCATGGCACAACTGTCTTTCTCTTAGACCAGGAAGGGAGCAGAATGTTTTCCATGCCTTTCCACTTCACATGCATCGGTATTTTGCAAGTGGGTGGTTGTTTTATTCTCCCTGGATAGAATGGGATCAAGAAGGGAGGCTTTTATGCCTTGTGAGGAAAATCTGACATTCTAGTTCATAAACAAATGGGAAGAGCATTAGGCAGTTGTAACTGAATGTGCCGGTATTCACTGGCAACCCTTGGTGACACAGGGTTCCTTTATGCTGAGTTACGTTGTAATTTAATCCTTGAACTTCCAGTTTTCCCTTCTTTTTATTTTCTGCAGCTGATTAGGTGAAAGAATTTCTCAATTAGCATCGTGTGCCAATCCCCAGAGAAATGTCAAACTACCATTAGTAAAAGGGCCAAAGGTCTCACCCAGGTTACATACACAAAGGTGTGGTTATGTCCCAGATGAGGAGCTGTCCCTTTGCCATGAGTCAAATACTGTTCCTCATAGAAATCCTCATCCTCTTATTGAAGAGTTAATGTGTCTATTAGGTATTTTGTTATCCTTCATAAAAACAACACCCCACCACCCCCCAAATCTGGGTAAGTATGGGTATTCTTTTCTAGTGTTCCTAAAGACTTTCTGGCATGTGATTATGTTAATGAAACTATTAATGAGTGCCCCAGATGTTTGGGGTTTATGGGTTGTCCATCTTCTTGCCAATGTTGTCAATGGTTAAATGTGCCCACAGAGAGAAGGGAAATCAGTTACTCTCTCTCCTTTTCTCTTTCAATACTGAATTCTCTAGTTTCATACCCTTCCTTTAGAAATTAATATTTAAATTCTGCTCAGTCAGGATTCTTCAGTGAAATAGGTTGTGGAGGGAACATATCTTGATATTTGGCTCACGACAGAATGGTACAGAGAAACCGTAATTCTACTTCATCTAGCATGTCTGTTCTCCTCTCTGTCAGATCAATTGCTGGAATAAAACCGATGCTCTCGCAGTACAGCTTGGATATGCATGAAAAAGTGTTGAGCTGCTGCAGAGCAGTGCTCCCAGTGTGGTATTATCTCATTCCTGCAGTGCTGCTCTCTTTGAATCAGGGTGCTTGCTAAAATGGATTCTTAGTTCTCATACGTTGTTTCTAGTCATTCCCACCTGTTGCTGTCACCAAAAAAGATATCTGTCCCACTTCTGTGTTTCCTTGAGCGCTTTGCCACAATTTTGTCATGGCACTTGCAGATGATTGCTTTATACCCCAGAGCGTGAGATTTGGTAACACCATTCTCCTCCCTTATTCGAATATAATGACTGCTTCTGTTAATAGGTGTGTAATTATCCAGCCCTGTTAATGATCTTACATTGACAAAGAGAACTATCAAGGAGTGACTTCCTTGGATGCAACAACTGTGCTCTTGGCTTTGCATCCCCATGATAAACATCAGCTACTTGAAGCCAGGTTGGAGTAGGTATGAGGCACGTGGGACAGCTATCCCACTTAATTCAAGAAAGCCAGAAAGCATTTGGCACCTCTTCTTGCAGAGCTAGCCAAAATGGAACACTTTCACAGACATGAAATACTAATTATATAATAGCATTTGACAGCCTGCTTCCTCGCAGGGCAAGATGCAAATGGGAGATCTTCACTGGACACCTCCCCTCATCATAGAAAGGCATTTTCTCACACAACTTTTTGAAGGAAGTGTATTACTCTTCACCAAAACCTTATTTTCCTTGTAAGCCAAGACCAGAGAAGTCATGGGAGCCTTATCAACACGTGTGTGGTCCAGAAGGGATTTGAAGGCAGCAGGACTGTCTTGCCCCTAAAGCTTAGGTGTATTTTTAGGAAGGCGTTATGAATTCCAGATGAAACAATAGTGCAAATTCAGTGGCAACAAACTCTGAATAAGAAACTGTTATTATTTTGTTGATGCAAAATTTCCTCTTACCCCCTGCCCCAGTTCAACTTTCTTACTATCACCATCAGTACGCACTTCCTGTTAGCAAAGTAAGCCCCTGGTTTTGAGTTGTCTGGCTTTTTCCGTAGCAATGGTTGGATGACCACGTCATCGCCACAACTAAGGTTTTCTCCTGTCCAGAGTTAATCCATTTATGCCATTGTATAATCAGTTTTGTTTGTTTCCAGTGACAAAGATTTTTGAGAATTCATCTGACTAGAAATGGCTTTGCTACTCCACATCTGTGAACAGTTAAGACCCCACCTTTCAATCTTAAGAAAAATTGACAAAAGACAGTATTTGTGACAGAGGGAAAAAGGATTGTTTCAGGAAAAAACAGTTGTTAATCCAATTTTCAGAACTGTTTTAACTCATCATTTTCTTTCAGAGGATGATTATCTGTAAAGCTAGGATGAACTCCAAATGTAATTTTCTGTGTAAGCTGTATTGGACTGTTGTAAAGTACTGAATATATCATTAATAAATTGGCATGTATCAGTTAACCAGTTCATTTTACAGAGCGAACTTGGAAATGAAAATATCATCCAGACTCCAAGCAGAAGAAGGAACCCTGGGGGTGAATGGAGTACCAGTGTGATGTATGATTGTGTCATGCTTGTACTTATATATGTCAAAAAGCCTGAAACCAAGGAAATTACTTCCAGCGGAAAAATAACTAATGACTTGGTGGTGCAAAATAACTTGTTAATAGATATTGTCATTACTCACACAGTATTGTACTTTACTGCATGTAATCGGGACAGCCAGTCAGAGAGTAGGAAACTGTTCAACGTGACTAGGAGTAATGGAAATTGCACCTGGACAGAGTTTTCTGTTTGGGGCTGGGAAATCCACTGAAGAAGATTACAGGTTTAAATAAAAATCAATGGTATTTCAACTTGGAGTGGGTGAGGTCCAAACAGCGGTGTCTTCTTGGATTCAAGTCCTATTCTCAAAGTCTGAGAGAATAAATGTACAGATGTGAAGTGACTCCAAGACAATAGGCTCTTTATGTTAGTCTGCCAGTTATCTGAACTAGTAATGGGCTCTCAGACCTCTAATTTGAAGAGGGCCTTTTTTTTATTTATAGCAAGAGTCTGAGCTCAGCTTCTCTTGACATGCTAGGAAATGGAAGATCTGAACAACTTTTTTTCAGCCTCCTTCATTACTGAACTGGTTCTCTGCAAATTGCTGAGAATTAAAGGAAGAAATGTTGGATATGTTTGAGACTGCTTAGAATTGAGACAGTCCTGAATTCTGAAGTCCTGAAGCCCAGGACAGCTGAAATTTCAAAAAACACCCATTAAGAGCTCTCTCTAATAAGTTTTTGAACTGCATTTAAATCTACCCTTTCTATTTATGCATTATCTGGCCACCTGCGTATTTAATGAATCCTTTTTACGTCTGCACATTTGCGGAAGGAAACCATTCTTGAGGAAATCCTTACAATTTGTGTTTGCATGTCACTGTTTTTATGTAAAAATAAAAATTAAAGTAAACAAGAGGTAAGGTTCACTATCGCTCTGCTCTCCCTGATGGGCAGGTAAGGGGAAATTGAATTCACTGAATTTATTTTATAATGGCAGATAGCTAATTTAAATGCAGCAAAAGCTGATGAGTGGCAAGTGATGGTGAAGTGGAAAGAAGATCTCATGGGAGCATATTTGAACTCTTTGAGATTTTTGACATGCATATCCCTCTATCAAAGCCAAACTGAAAGCAGGAGACTTAAAAGAGAGTTGGGGATCATACCTTAAATTTAAAATGCCTCAACAGAAGTGAGTTTCAGTCTACTGATATGTCAGATCACCTGCTCCTCAAGTAGACGTGCGGCCAAAGAGCCTGTTAATAAAATGGTTCTGAGATCTTGTTAGAGAGTTGGAATAAGTCGTTTGGTTTCCTTAAAATGCTGAGAGCTAGATACTCCCCGTGGCTACAGAGGGACTAGCTGGGCATTCAGCACTAAGGGGTGTCAGGTTGTCTTAACCCCTAAAACCTTAACTTTAGGTATCTGTCTCTGAGAATCCTGACTGCTGTGTGAATGTGTAATTGACTTGCTATCTGAATGCAGAGGACCTAGGACGCCACTTCACCTACTGCTCTTCACGAGGGCAAGGAAAACCCACACATACCCA